TCTGGGGTGTGCGGGGGATCCCCCGCCTGCCCCGGGGTCCCTCTGGGAGCGGATCCCCCTCGGGAGGGTTTTCCTTCTTGCGGCCTCTTCTCTGCAGCGTCCGAGCGCGGGGGTCGGAGGGGAGGGGGGGCCGCCGGTGGTCCCGGGGCGGGGGAGACGAAGGAACTTTGGGGACGTGATGAAGAAAGACATACCCGGTGTTCTTTCCACTTTCTGAAGAAATTCTTTTGCGTAGCCATAATCGGGACAGAGCATGCGCTTTTCTTTTTTTTTTTTTTTTTGTTTCCTTTTTTTGCATGGGTCTGTCTTTGTTTCCTAGTGCCTAAAATGCTGTTCTCAATATAGCTTTGTTGTGAAGTTCCCCCGTGAGGCTGGAGGGCGAGGGATGACTCTGAGGCACAGGGTGAAGGTTGCAGAGCAGGTAGTTCTGTTTTGCATATCTGTAATTTTCCTCCCTCCATCAGGGTACAAAACTTGATGCCGTGATCAGTGGCTTCTTGGGAGGGCTTCCTGCACGGTTACAATAATCTCCGAGTATTAAAACTTATGGAAAATCAAGTTCCAGGAAGGTCTTTACTCTGTCACTCTGTCCCAGAAGATGTGGGGCATCAAGGAGGTGCATTTACTGTTGTGAAGTTTGGGAGTTCATTCACGGGGCTGGGGGCTGTCAGCCCGGAGAGGCTGTGGCAGCGCTTTCTTAACGCAGCTTGTTTGTAGTTAAACTTTTAATGTTAGCTGTTTGGGGGGGGTTTGTCAAATGTTTTTCAGATATACTTTCTGTAAACATTTAACTAAAGAGATAGTGCTATCTGGTGTTTGGTTTTGGGTACTCCGTGATAACAAAGAATTGAATAACATTCTCTTGTGTTGCTCAAAATGTAACGTGACATAATTATATATATATTTTTAAGAATTTGCTGAATGTTTTAAGCATATGCTTGTATTTTCTGTGGAACTTGTTTCTTCTGATACTGAAAGCCCGTTACAGTTTGACCCTGTAAGATATATTGCTGCAAACTTTAAAAAAAAAATCCCTTTCTAGAATGGCTGGCTGTGCCATCATGCTAATCTTTAACAAGCTTCTCTAATAGCTTAAACTTCAGTGTTACAGAGTGAAGTTTTGCATGTTATGTAAGTAATTATCTGAATATTAAATCCGCTGCCCCTTTGTGGATTTAATACTCAGGTTTCTTAATATGGATATTCTGGATTTGTTTGTGCAAATCACTTTTTTTCTATCAAAAAAACATGAATAGGAAGAATTTGGTGTGACTGTGTCCCCAAGCCCTTGGAAACATATTTCACGGTATCTCATTGCCGAGATAACTGAGCTCTGACCTGTAAAGGAGCCGAGTGAGTCAGTGAGGTAATGTCATTGTACAGTTCTTGAAAAATACGCCCTAGTTGGAGGCCTAAGCGTAAAGATTTGAAGGCGTATGTGTGCATTGTTCAGCTCAGTATAACTCTGAGCTGTTTATAGTAAACAATATTGAATGGAAGCATTTTATTGAAAATGGCAGTAATGCTTCGAGTTTCACTGATTAGTTGTTGCTCAGATAAGAACACTTGATCCCTTTTTTCCCACCCCCTTGTTGCAGCTTTATTTATTTCTAGGCTCGACTGTTTGCTGTGTAAATGTTTCTGGGGGGTTTTCTGGGTAGGAATAAATACCTTGCGTTGGGAACAGGAGAGGAATTGCCCCTGCAGTGAGTTGTGTAGGAACCCCGGGGTCCCTGCCAGCAGGAACTGGGGGGTGGCTGTGCCCTTCGTGTGTGGGGGGACCCGAGTGCTGCTTGGAAATGGCTTCAGGCGCAGGAGACTGCGGGCGAGGAGCATAAACAGCTCCTGTGCTGAACCTTGATGCAGGGCTGCGTTACCAGTAACCACCACAGTGGAGAGAATTTGTAACAGTCTGGGGGAAATACAGTATGAACATCTTATCTGGCGCTGTGCTCAGGGAAGGTGCTGGGTCAGCAGGTAGGATGTGAAGTGGAGCAGGATTAGTTTAGTGTGTGTTTAAAATAGAAATCATAGTTTGCAATGATGAGCCCTGAGACTTTCTTCAGGAGCAATCTGTGCGGACAGAGCAACAGGACTAATTACACTCCTGCCATCCCCGGGTTATTCCTTCCTGGAGCCTTGTGCTCAGCGTGGAAGCAGCAATAGTCCCGTTCCTGAGTACACTTAGAACGTCTAAGGAAAGTGGTGCAGTGTGTTTCAGGAAACATTAATTGTTTGTTAGTCAACAGAAATCGCTTTTTTATTTTTTTTTTTAGTCTTTCATTGTGTGTCTTTATTTGGCCTCAGTGATTGATTTGAGTCTAACTCATTTATTCCTAAGTGCAGATGAGAATTTAGTTACCTTCTGTGAGCACAAAGTACGTTATACCCAAATCTTAAACAGCGCACGGAGACATCTCATTCCCTTGCAGAGGGGATCAGTGCCATTGCCTCCAAGTAAAAATGTTAAATAACAATAACTGTGTATAAGCAGTGAATTGGGTCATGGAACTGTGTGAATCCTGGAACCTGCTCATTACTTCTGTTTTCCTCCTTTTCCCACTTTCGGGGTTTTTTTTCTTTCTAGCTCTTTTCTTCGTCTGTCGGTAACACCCACATTATGCATCACTAATGATGGGAAGGGCTGCCTTTATATTTGCATCTGCTGCTTTTTCATGAGTAGAAGTGCCAGTGATATTAACTTTAAAGAAGACTTTTCGGCCTGTTCTCATGTTTCTGTGGGGATGGGAGCTCAGTGTTGCGCCGTTGGGGTTGAAGTGCAGCTGCGTGCGACGGTGAGTTTATATCCACTGTATGATGCTGCTTCTTGAAATGTTTGCAGTTTGTGCTGGTGAGTTCACAGAACAAGCTAAATATCTTCATTCATCCCATATTCAGATAAAAATGTTAGTATTGAAGCACTTCAGCACTCGGCTTGGGGCTGTCTGGGTGCTCTTAAGTTTTGGGTGAGATTTTCAAGCAGCTCTTCTCACGTTAACCTCATCAGGGCGATGTTAATGGAGCTGAGAAACTCTGGAATGGCCAGATTCAAAGGTTCTAATTAAGCACGTTCAGGGGATTTGTTTTACACAGTGCATGTTCTGAGACTCTTGCACTGCTTCTGCGGTAAAGTTTGTTCTCTTGGTACAAGGTGGATGGTGGTGGCACGAGAGCTTTTGTTTGGAAAGTAGGAGAGCTGACTCCCAGACCACGCTGGAGGGGCCAGCTTGTCTCCAAAGGGTTAAGTGCACTCATAAAGAGCTTATTTGGCTGCTGGTTTTCATTTGACTATGGTTTCTGATTTGTCTGGTGTTAACAGGTAGAGATATTAGTGGAGTGAACTTCAGCTTGTGCTGCCTATGAAAAACTGAGGGAAGGGGAGGGGGCAATGTGCCTGGCATAACGAGGAGTTCCCCTCGTGGCACTTCAGGCTTTTGGGTTATGTGACAGCGTTATCATACTCTTGCTCTTGCCTCATGTACAGAAGGAGCTGGTTTCTGTTTACTTTTCTAGTTAAACATACATTTTGCTGTCTGGTTTGTGATTTTGTGTGGGTGTTTCTGTGAATGGCTTCGTGCACCTGTGTTTGTTCCTTTCAAAGCTGATTGTCTCTTAGTGGAGAATTGAGACTCTGTCTGCCGAGGAAGGCTTTTATTAGGATTTCCAGAAGCTGAAGGAAGAGCGAGGATGGTGGCATGTGTGGAAAAAGTAGTATCAGCAAAACAGTTGAAACCAGGACTGAAGGCCAGCCAAATAGGAGAGAACCTTACTGG